TGGGTTAGAGAGCCAAGCGAGGCGGGGGAGAATGGGGCCTGTGCTTTGCAATGCTGGAAGGCATTACAGGGAGCTGGGAGGATACTTGCCCCAGTTGAAAGGGAATAAGTCCAGTGATGGTTTCTGGGAGCCGGGGTTGGGATTCCAGTTTTATTTGTCCATATGTTTTTTTTCCCAATTTATCTCACTCAAGCGCATCAAGAGCCAACTTCGTCTGTGAGGCTGAAGCCGACAACCCGACCACTTTCCTCCGTCGCAGGCTTACGTCATGGACCTCTTTGAGCGGTACGGCTCTGGTGAGGCAAGATTCGCTTTCCCGAAACGGCAAATCCTTCTCCTTCCACGCTTCCAAATCGCAGTTTCCAAAACTGAACCAACATACAGGTAGCTTCCTTTTGATTTGCCCAACACCCCAGCTCCACAAAAAGCCTCCAGTAGCCGCTTCGGGGTGCCTCGTTAAGTGGGGGGGAGGGTGGCGAAGGATGTTTGTCGGCAATGGGAAGTACCAACCCTCAATTTTCCAAGTTGGAACTGCCCAAAGGGATTTGCAGGGATCATTCCATGTCCTCTTTTGGACCTTCAATAGCGGCGATTGTTTTAGTGGAACACCCCAGTATTTTGATCAAGTTTTCGAGGGGAGGTCCAGTGACTTCTGATTTGTGCAGTTCCATGGTGGTGATAGGGAACTCTAGTCTCTTACATCCTTGAAGTGAAGAGAGTCGTTGGCAAGGCTTTCTGGTATCATCACTCAAGTGGGCAACTCCGCAACCCTGCTGTAACTTTGCAGATGTGTGTTCACGCGCTTGTTTTGCTCGGCGATGGATAGCTGTGATTTCTTGACATGGAGTGTTTCAATTGTTCTAGATACTGTTGCTTGGCGCCGTTATTGTTGTTGGCTTTTGCCGGAATGCTGCCCTATGTGCCTGGAGTGGTGCTTTCGCTGCAGCTGTACCTACATTGTTCTGTGGTTGCCCCTCCCCATTGTGCTTGGCTTGATTCGCACGTATCTTCTTGGCACATTGCGAGATCAGCGTTCGGTCAATTGTTTGGTGCTTGATGTTCAACTAGGTCTTCCTGTAGTGCCCTTTCTCACCCCTTTTTTTGGGAAGGGTTCCCCTACTAAAATAGACTACAGAAATATGCGTACCCTTATTCTCACCTCTCTAGTGGAGGACCTAGTCAATGCATGAGACTCGTTTTGAAAATATTGCCGGCTGGCCAGCCAGCCGGCATTCTATGTTTGTTCTCACGCACACTTCTTGCTCTCTTGCTCTCGCACCCAGGGTATGTTGACAAGCCAAACATGCTGGTTTGTGGCACAGAATCTCTACAGTTGACCGCTGAATCGCTGAGACAAGAGATATCTTAGTCTCCCTGATGCCAAAACCTACCTTGATGTCACAGCTCAATGTGTCTGTGAGATGGAATTTGGGGGAGATAGGGTGACAGACGTCTTGTCTCGTTCGCACCCCCTGAACTCAAATTCTCGCGAGTATCCTTTTGTTTGGCATAAACTGGTGACCCATGGACGACCGATCTCCACTGTCTTTGTGTGTCAGCAAACAAATACTCTCTTTCCAACAACCATAAAAGTGGACAAAGGGCTTCCCACCCTATGAACTGACCGGCTGATGTTCAATGAGGGTGTGCAGAAGAAGTTTCCTCCTGCCGAGTATTGGAGCAATTTCGCATCTTGCAAACAGATCGATGTACGATTTTGGAAAAGTACCTCAAGAGGTGGTGATGGTTGCTGAGTCATCCGTGCAAGCCACTTTCCGAGGTTTTCGCTTGCTGCAAAGGAAGACTCAGCCCAAGGGCATCCCCGACTTTGAGTCAAAGGCCCCTTTGCGTGCGGCAGGAAGCTTGGGAGAGCCCTACAGGCTCGTGGCAGGGGCCTCATGTTGGCCCTGAAACAACGGGGGTCCTGAGATTTTTTTGTGATCTGAACATGGCCTCCATTTCCACATTAGTTTAGGTTTTGGTGCGGAGATGTTGTTTTGAAAGACACATAGGAACACCCTCCAAAACGGATCTCTTGCCGCCGCCAGGGCAACATCGAGGGAGTAGACATGTACAACGCCTGCTACGGCGGGCAGGCACCGGTCGAAAGGGCAGGCAAGTTTTCTCCCAACCAGCACAGGTGAATAGCGCCCGAGACCTAAGGACTTAGTGGTTGGGTTTCTACTTGACCCACAAAAAGTTAAACTTGTAAGCAAGGGATCTGAGGCCAGCCCAGCTTTGGGAAACTCATCTGATGCGAGCCTGCCATGGTTGGAAGGAAAACCAGTTGAACCCATTTTCATGTTCCTTTGGTTTCCAAGCAGCATGCAGTTTCGCATTCATTGAGGGGTCGTCCATACCCTTTGAGTGAGGACAGGTTGGCCGCGAATGTCTTTTCACTCTTCTATCCTTTGCAAACCCGCCGAGATGTCATGCAGTTTGGTCGGTTTTTTCTGAAAAGAAGGATCCCTAGGCAGGGGGTGGGTCCTTATGTTTGGTTGACATGTTTCATACGGGTAGCTCGGTTTTTTTTGTTGAGGGCGCCCCATTTTTCGGGTTTCAGGAAAACCAAAAGCAAACCGCCAATTTGGGGGGGTCACTAAAAAAGGACCACATCCTTGTCGGAGCAGAGGCCTAGCTGTTCTGATAGGCGACCAGGACTTGGACCATGTCGAAGCTCAAGCGGAGTTACCCTCCCGCCAACTAACGTGGGTTTGTGCAAAAAGGCCAACTAACCAAGCGGAGAGGCCAGTCTTTCTACAGGGCTCCAGACTCCGGCACTTCCATGTTCGCTGGTAAGAGTAGTTTTTTGAAGGGAAAGCAGGGCTGCCAAAAGGAGGTCGGTCGTGGGGTGGGCCACGGAGAAACCAAGGAGCTCCGCGGTGAACCAGACGTGGTGGGCCAGGATGCTTCCCCGTTTTTTGGTCGATGAATTGTGGCTCATGGTTGTGGTCGTCATTTGACCGTTTTGCTTTGGATCCCATTTTGGTTGGGATTGGTGAATTCTCACCACCCATTTTAGGTCTCCTATTTGAGTGGTTGGATTGAATCGGATGTTCACTGGTTGGGCTAGCCGGAATTTTGATTTTGAGCCACTCCAAATGCCAAGCCTTGAGGCTTGGGCTTGGTGAAACGTCACAAAACTCTACCAGCGCAGACCCCAAGGAGTTTGTGTTCAGCAAGCCCGTCATACTCGGGGGCTTGCAAAGCTTGCCCTATGGATATCACAGGTCAGGGGCAAGTGCGGAAATCAGATGGAAAATGTCAGATCCAAAAGAGTACTGGCAATTATAATTTGCACACACTCCACGTGCAAATAATGGAAGACACCACTCGTCGATGGAAGACGCTCCTCATCCCAAATCAAATGGAAGACACTCCACATGCAAAAGAGTACCGGCAAATCATTTGTACACATTCAGATGAAGATGATGAAGCGCCATGTTTTTGAAAACGTATTTTTGCGCACATTTGCCACGCAAATAAGATAAGAAGAAGAATATTATGATGATAATTTGCCAAGAGAAGCTTCGGCCTCGCAAGGCGGCTGGCCTCTGCGCCCAAAACTGGGCTTGGGGCCTCAGCCAGGGGAACAAATGGGCGCTGGGTGGAGCTTCAGGCAGCGGCTTTTGGGGGGTGACCCTCTGGTCCACATGGAATCCCACTGGAGGGTTTATTTGGAAGGAAAACAGTTTTTTCTTGTTTTGATGTGGGGATTTCCCAGTCAGGTTCCATGGCAACGTGGAGAGGGAAGGGTGTAAGGTGCAGAAATGGTTTGAAAGGAAGTCCAGGGAGGTGGTCAATCATCGTGTCTTTGTTGCTCTTTGGGTTGAGCGAACTTGTCTTCACACATTTAGGACATGATGGAACCAGCATACCGGCCGGGGGTCTGAGACCAGCCTCGAAAGAACACATCTACTCCCGCCCACCAGCTTGCCATCGCCAGACATACCGATCTCTTTTGCGCCGAGGCCAGTGCAACTCCTTTGGCTAGAAACAGTCAGCTTTCAGCCAGTCCTTTTGGAAGCCCCTGGAAAGAAACACGCACCCATCTCAAGCAAATCCTTGCGCAGGTCTGGACACTTTTCTCATGCTGAGGAACGGACGCTTGCTCCAAGTCGAACCTGAACTCTGTTTAGGAGCCACTGGGAAGCTTCTAGCCGAGCCTTTCCCATTTTCTTTAGGGCCAGTTCCCTGTAAAAAATGTGGTTCAAGGGAAGAGTGGGTGAAGAGCATGGGGAATCAACCATTGGACTTTGTGAAAGGCCGTGAACAAGGCAAAGTAGGATCTGAACATTGAGGGGGAATGGCGTGGGCCCCAGGTCATCGAATGTGCAGATCAATGATTAAGGGACTTGCGCTTCTTCCGTTCCATCCAGTTTGCGGATGTTTGCAGGACACGCTTCTTGAGTCCATGAAGTTGAGTCAACACAGAAGCACAGAGATCTCGAACATCAGTTAGTCCGTTTTCGACAAAGCCAGCCTCGGGAAGAACCATAGCCCTGGCACCTTTTTCGAGGGCACCATCTGTTTTGTGGTCTTGAAGCAAACCAAAGGAAAACCACCATTTTGGTGGATCCCACACACCCATGTGGGTACCGGGCTTTTTTTTTTTTTAATTATTCTCTTCTGTTTTTAGACGGTCCTTGTCGGAATCCGTGCGGCGCAAGGGTGTAGTGGCTGCCAGAAGGCCGAGGTAGAAATGTCGTTGCACCAGGTGGCGACACTTCTCCAGCGGTATGGTCTTTTTTTGGGGTGACCCCATGTGAATCAACCAACCAGATTATGAATAGGGGGTGCTTTTTGGCCCCTCCAAAAGTGGTCTGATGCCCATACTGTGAATGGTTGGGAATTCCTGTTAGGCACCACCGTTCAGAAACCCTTGTTTCTGATTTGATTCCCCAACGTAAATTCCAACAAACGATGGTTTCAACCATGATTTGAAAGTGTTGCAGGACTTCGTCGTCCATCCACAGTATTCATCAACCCCAGATTATTCATAGGCGGGTGTTCCCCTCCAACAGTGAAGTTTCTCCACTAAACCCAGGGAACCCTGCTAATACACTGGGGTTGATTAATATGGGGCAACGTTACAGGGGAACTTTTGATTTCCCACAAACACCCACTCCAAACCAAGCCTGAACCGGAGCCTGGTGATGCTGAGGATGTTAAAACGATGCCGGGCCTGTCTCCTTTCATGCACGCCAGGCTGTGACAGGGTTGGGTTAATGCCAGGGCTATGTAAAAAAAACAACCTCAGCCCTGACATGGCCTTGCCATTGCCTTTTTAAACTCAGGAGGTTGATCAAAATCTCCCAAACAAATCCGGTACCCATATCCTTCGAGGCCATTGATTTGCTTCCCCATGTCCTGAGGGCAATCAAGTACTTCTTGACCGTGTGCTAGACCCCTTTGCTGCATTTTGGCAAGGGATGGTAGGACTTCAACTTTTGGCCAACTAATGGGTTTTCCATTAAACCACTAAGAGTTAAACTTTTAGCAGGGGAGCAGAAGGCAACCGAGAGACCCTCATTTGCCTCTTGGGACTGCCAACTTGGGATTTCTTTGGGGAGCAAATCGCTTGAGGTGGAGTCTGATCGCTGGGACGGGCGCTATGCCGTCGCCATCGCCGGCACGCCAAGGAATGGGTGGGCAGACTTGGAAGGAAGCAGTTTGAGCAAGGCCCAGCACATCCCATGGACCAACTTGGGGCCAATTTTCTCCCAGGTTTCGTAGGTGCTGTAAATGGTTGCAAAATCCGTTCAAGGCACCACCGTTCAGAACCCTGGAATTTCTGATTCGATTCCCAACGTAAATACCAACCAACAATGGTTTCTCATGGTTTCAAAGTGGTGCAGTAGTTCGTCCATCCACAGTATTATTTTAATTGGTGAGGTGAGGCTTTCTTTATGTACGCCTCACGGTCATTTTGGCACGAACGAAAAGTCAATGGGTTTGGCGGTGCTCATTCGTCAATGTCTTTCCTAATTCTGTCGCCAGCCAACGAGAAGAACACCCGCTTCTCTATATTCTAAGCCCAAAACTATGGCAATACTACACATGTTCCAGCTCTCCTTTCGTTTGTGGTTGGCGCGATGCGACAAACATGTTGCAGCGGTATGCATCGGTTTCTCCTGACAGCACGGCGGGGCGATACGGCAGGGGGTTCCGTACGCCTTGCTTCCCTCGACTGTCACTTCATCCAGGTTGCTCTACGCGAAACCTGGGGGGTTGGTCGCTGGGTTCCTGAGCGTTGAGGAGCGTTGAAGCCGAGGTTGTTTCCAAGGACCCAGCTTAGCGGCATGACTTTCGGGGAATGAAAAGGGGGCCGATGGGTGCCTGATGACACCACGAAAAGGATCAGCGACGATTCGCCCGTTGCTTGAAGCGGAATACCCTCAAACATGGTTGGTGGTGGTAGATCCCCCCCCAAAAAGACAAAACGCAGTGCTGGTTGTTGGTTGTTTGTGGTAGATGCCCCCAAAGACAAAACAAAAGCCAACACAGAGACAACTCATCCTGACATTCAGTGCTCAGATTCGAAAAGATAAGCGGGCCGGCTGCAGCTCCTCATATGAAAATATGGCCATGGGTCAAAATCCAAACAAAATCAAGCCTGAAATGAGTGGTGCACCCACCCCAAAATGGTACCATTGGTTTTGACCCACAGCCATATGTTCGCCAAACATTGTCAGGGATTAACTACAGCCCCCTGAAAAACTTGCTGGCTCTCAGCAGGGAATGAGGGAATGACCCGTACAGGCAATCCCCAATGGTTTCCTTTGAGGGAATCCCTAGGTTCATTCCCCACCCTGGGTCATTGCCTACTGAGCACCAGCAAGAAAAGGGTTGCTTTGAATGTCCCTTGCAACACATGTGCAGATGTCTCCTTCCATAGTGTTGCCAATGTCACAGAGGAGGTTTCACAAGCACAGGGCTGACACATGTGTACTTTCCCCTTGCACTACGGCTATGAATTTTCTGAGGGCGCCACCTCCAAAAAAGAGGACAGGGCTTGTTTGGCCGAGTTTCCTGCTGTCCTCCAAAACAAGGATAAGATTCACAGCCACGCCGTGCGTCCACGTGGCAACCCCTTCGTTGCGTTTTGCCTTCGACGCGCGCGCGCGCGCGATCGGCCAACCCCAGGCGACGGACATCTCGGACGCTCCCCACGAGGTGATCTTCGCCGTTGGCGCGGGCCCCGAGGTGCTGGTCACTTGCCATCGGAGCGAGTTCCGGATCCGGGGAGTCCCGAAAGAAAACCACCAGTTGGATGTTTTTGTTCTTCTTTTTTTCCCGTTTTTCTTCTTTTTTTCTGTTTTTCCTGGTGCGATTAAGCAGGTGAATGAGCTTCCATCTGCTTCAGAAAGTTGTTTTCCCCCTGTTGGTGTCAAAGGGAATCTATCAGTGGAAATATGTTGATTTCCAGTGGACTTCAAATGGAAGTGAGGGAATGCACCGTTTTGGGATTCCCTAAAGAAAAAACCGCCAGTTGGAGGGTTTTTCTTGGTCATTCCAATTCTCATCTGCTGAGCACCAGCAAGTAGAGCTTTTGCTTCAGTCTTCCGAGCCTTCTGACATCGCCGACTTGCCTGGCATAGCTGGAGCATCCGAGTTGTCGTAGATTTGTTCTCCCCTTGGTGTTCAAGGGAAACGCATATGACTGAGTCATTTTTTTTTAAATGTTTCAATAGCAGCTCAAGCCAAGACTTATTGTGATCATAGGCATAAACCAGGCCACCACCTGCTTAGGTTGATCCCAATTCCTCTGCTAGCGTCGATTCAGCCTGAACTTAGTTTCTTTCGCTGGATGCGATCCCAATTCCTCTAACGTCAATTCAGCCGCTGGATGCGCATTCGAGAGCGATTCAGGCAAAAATTGAGAGCGAGGCAAAACGAGAGCCGTGAGGGGACTGAGGCGCCGCCTGCACCGCAGCGCTCTACTATCCCGCCGCTGGCCTAGGGGCGTCGGATGTGACTGACCTCCCCGTGGCTCAGCTTGGCGCGTTTCCAGCCATCCGAGTCCTTGTCTTCTTTTGTTTTTGATTTCTTTTTGTTTTTTTTCTTCTTCTTTTCTTAGGCTTTTAGTTGGTTTGGTGGTTGGGGTTTCATTTAACCCACCAAAAGTCCAACTTGTAGCAGGGCGTCTGGGGACAGCCCAGGTCTCCAAAAGTTTCGCGAACCGCAAGGGATTTGATCAACCACAAAGGAAAGGAAGACCATAGATGTGGCCTGGTCCACACGGGGCTGGTTTGTGACTTAACGGGAATTGTGGCGATTCTCTTGGGAATCTTGGGGTACCATGGCCATGACACACCAAGGGAGTCTGGATCAATTGTACCACTGTACAAATTGACAACCACAAACCACCATGAACACGTAGTTAGCATGGTTGGCATGTTGCTTCTTTGGTCCTGTTCATTTTGGGCTGCAAAGGGTTCGTTTTCAACAATCCTGCAAGCGGACAGGGGGGTTCCCAAAAGGAACCTCGTCTTCCCAAACACTTCTGTCAGCTTCCACCATTGTTGGAGTGAGAGCAGTTGGGAAGTTTGCTGTTGGGCACAATGACTTCAGGCAAGGGTTCCAGAGTTGGATTTGCTTTGGGGTTTATGCTCTTTGGGGAGAGAGCTCTAGTGCCAGGCAAGCAGTTTGGCAGCTTGTTTTTCTTTTTCTGTGTTCGTTTCTTTTTTTTTTCTGGCAATACACTCAGGAAGTGAGATAATCTCAGATAGGCACGGGTTGAGGTGATTGAAGTTGAAGCTGGGCTCGCCTCGCCGCATCTGACACAGCCGGCTCAAAGATAGTCGCGCCAGGAGTCAACACATGTCATGTACCCCGGGCCTGTGCGCACGGAAAATTCGGTGTAGCCCTATGGCACCTCTAGCTGAAGGAAGCCAACTATTCCTTTTTTGGCTATGCAACCCACTTTGGAGGCACTCGTTGACCCGCTTCCCTGAAGTGCACAAATTTCGAAGGAAGATGCTCAGGCCTCATGCTGAGGGTGTTCAATCCATACGGGATTTGGTCAAGGTAAAGGTGATTCACAGAGGGGTCCAATAATCGTGTTCAGGCTAAAGGGATTCGATTGCCAAAGTTTCGTAGTGACAACTCCTTTGTCGACTACCCCAAAACCGTGCAGTTCGTGCAACACCAGGCAACCTTGGCTTGACTTTCATCCAAGCTCTGTTGCCCAGTGGCGCCCTTTTTTCCTTTTTCTGGGGCAGGGTTCCCCTTTAAACTCAACCAACCCAACAAGGGATGCCCTTTTTTTTCCCGTGGCCACTGGCCCTACCTTTGGCCCCAACAAAAGCCAACGCCTCCCATGCCCCATGCGCTTTCCGCGCGCGAAGCCTTCGCGCGTCGTCCTCGCGGCCCTCGTGGCGCTCCTCCTCGCGCCCCGACGGCTACCGACCGCGGTGCCGGTGCCGGGCTGGTGGCGGGCTGGCAGCGGCGCGCGGCAAGAGGTCTTCAGCAGCTCGGAGCTGGAGCGATGCCGAGAATGGATGCGGCCGGCTCGTCTTTTTTGGTCCCTTGGTACTCCTTCTTTGCTGGCTTAAAGGGCAAACCAAAAGGAATACTCAATGTGGCTGGCTTGTCTTGGATCTGGGGGTACCTTCCATGTCCATTCGTTCCAGGGATCCGAATCTTTTCAAGAAACCATCAAAAGCTCAAGGGAAACAGCCGGTTTTCGAAAAAAGAAAAAAAATGGTTGAAAAGATTGGGGGGGGAACCAACCCCTAGATTTTTCGGTCCCTTGGCACCCCTTGCTTTTCTGGCGTTCAAGGGGCAAACCAAAAGGAAAACCCTTTGGCCATCTTGGGGAGTGCCCCCAAAAAGGACACACACCCATGTGGGGAGAACTTCCTGGCCAGTGGAAGCCCCAAGAATCTGCGAAAACGGCAATGGCACCCAGAAAAAAAAGGGGTAGCGTCTCTTTGGTTTCCCTTTGAGCCGACGACAAGGGGGGGACCTTCAGGAAAAAAGGTTTGGGTTGGTGGTTGCCAAATCTTCACGGAGTCGCCAATCAAGATTCGGTAGCCTTTTGGAGGTTTCCTGGCAAATCCGATAATTTCCATACGATCTTGATCCGGCGTATTCCGGATGTGCACCAAGACCAGCCATGTGAATATAAATGTGTGAGCCGCGGATCTGCAAGATTCATTGCGGAATGTCTGGTCGGTTCCCAGGCGTCCCCTAGGTAAGCAGAAGCGGCTTTTCGTTGGTTTAGTGGTTGGGTTTTCTATGTAACCCACTAAAAGTTGTTCACTCGTAGCTGGGAAGTGTTGACGGCCAAAAAGAAAAGTCGCCGGATCCCTTTTGGCTCCCTCGGGACCTGGAGCCAAGTTTCGATCCCCCGATCGGGGCTTAAAATGACCGTAGCGGCTACCCAATTGTGATGGCAGACCCAGCTGACAAGCACTAGACCAAAAATGGGGGGCGTTTCTCTCAAAATTGGGTTAGGGACCCGAATGTGAGACAGGTCACCGGGCCATTTTGACGATTCTCTTCACGGGACGGCTTGAGGGGCCGTGCTGTGTCCTTTTTTGCTGTCCGAGTAGCAGTGCGTTATCTCATATCATCGCCTTAGTGCGAGGCAGGTCAAATTCTGTTTGTAGGAGATCTTGGCACAGATCGCGGTGCTCATGATGCCGGCGGAGCCCATCGAGGATGTCGTTTTCAGAGCGGTTCGCGGTTGGGTCAATTTTCCACCCGCCAGTTTTAGATGGTGGGACCCTCAGTGCCCAATCTCCCAACAAGGTGCTGTTTGTTTTCCTTTTGACCTGTTGTCGCTGTTTTGAACTGGGAAGCGATTTCGGTCCCATCAGCTTTCCAGCGAATCGTTGAACCTTTGTTTGGTGGCTAAAAACAAAGGCGACATTTGTGGCCGAGAGGTCCAAAGCACCTGACGGACGGTAAACTGACATGGGCAAGGCGTGATACCGTGCCACCTATAGGACTTGATGTTTGAAAAGCTGCGGTTGAAGACGTTGCGCCCCTTTTCCTGCTGATTCTCAGCGGGGAATGAGGGAATGACCTCTGTAAATCATGCCCCATGGCTTCCTTGCAGGGAATCATTCACAACTGGGTCATTCCCTGAGCACCAGCAAGGCTGCATCCCTTTGGCTTGGCACATCACTCGGAGAGGCTTTGCGCGTTTCTTGCTTGGACATTGACACCCCTGGGAATATAAGGTGTGCTGTGGTGGCCATCGCGTACCAAGCAGTGCGTTGTCGGCACGGGCCGCGGCAGCTCTTCTGCACCTTCGCCCCAGAAGACATCCCGGAAGATGGGCTGCAGGCCTCGGCTTGGGCGGCGAGGCCGTAGTGGCAACGCACACCATGGTCTGTGCAGAGCACAGTTGCAGAAGTGGCGACAGGCCATCTTGAAGGAAGTCTTGACGCACTTCGTTCGCAATCCAAGCGGTGCCGGTTCAGCCTTTCACTTCTTCGCTTTGGGTCCAGAAGTTGTTTGATTTTTGTTTCATCTACGTCAGCCACAAAGGAGATGGGCTTGTTTTCCTTTCCAGGTGCTTTGGCTACTTTGGAAGCGTTGTTGTTGGGCAACATGTTACATGTTTGCTTATTGTGGTTTAGTGGTTGAAATCCAAATCCACTTAACTGCTACAAATCAAGTTTTTGCTCCCCAAACCCAACGTTAACCAAGTTTGCGATACGGAACTAACCAACATATTTTAGTGTGCTTGGTCATAGCTTAGTGGCTTCAACGCGCCAAAGGTTTGACACCTTCTCTTGCTGGTGCGATAGGTAGAGAATGACCCATGGTTTCAGGGCTTGGGAATGAACATAGGGATTCCCTTAAAGGAAACCAACGTGGATGATGTTTTTTCGGGGTCATTCCCTTCCCTGCTGAGAACCAGCAAGTCTTGGGAGGTGTCTTTGGTATCGCCTCAAGATGACGAAACGCTTCATTCTGTGGATGACACCCCATGCGCATCAGATTGGAGCAGTTCGCGTGCTTTGAACTTGTGAGGAATGTCTGGGAAGTATGTGGCTTACTCCCCCAAAAGAAAGCACGGACACAAGACCTTTTAACTAATTCCCTTTGTGTTCGAACGAACATACTGTACGATGGGGTTGCCTCACGGTTTTGCTTGCCTCGCATCATGGCCATGTCCCCTTTCCAACCATGGGGCAAAACACAAGAAGAAGTCCCTATAAGGTTATCAGTGTGAAAAGACCGTACTTTTCTCGTGAGGATACCTTGAATGACGTACCTTTCTCTTAGTGAAGGTACCTTCCGCAAGCCGAGGAATAGGAAGCCCTTGGCCTTGAAGCAGCAAGCAGCAAGCTTCATTTCCAGTTGCGGGAACGTCGCCAAAGCCCCCAGCCCGATACCCTCCCACCAATGAACATGGAACCATGTAGAACCTGACAGAGGGTGCCTTTAAAAGGAAAACGGTCCGAACCAGGACCCTCCTGTCAGGTTCCATGTGAAAAGGGTGGAAGGGCTTCACTTCCAGTTGCTGGTGCGATAGGTGGAGAATGACCCATCATTTCAGGGCTTGGGCATGAACATAGGGATTCCCTTAAAGGAAACCAAATGGGGATGATGTTCCCGTTTCCGCGTTTTCGCTCTTCGCTTTGGACGCTCCGCGGTTGCGACCGAGTGGTTTTAGGAGCTCTTCCGGAGCTTTCCGGCGCCCAGCGGCTGGAGCCGCAAGGAGCGAGCTGGGGCGTTCAATCAAGTCCAAACCCAACAAAAACCAAAGGCAGGTTTCATTTGTGAGAAGGGCGGGAGGGCTTCAAGTCCAGTTGCCTAACAACGGAACATCGCCACAAAAAGAACACACACACAGACAATCAATCTGATTTTCACCAGGCTCCATGTGGAAAAAATTGGGAGGGCTTCACACATCCGATTTTCACTCCGCAGAAGCTCATGTTGGTAATGCAGGCCTCCTGCGAGACCAATTGCCTGAGATGTTCATT